GGGCAAATTTTCAAATTTTCCCATCTACGGTAACAGAGCTTTTTCAAATAAAAACGACGTGGAGGGTTGGGGTTGTATTCCGATCTATGTATGATATGTGTATAATGATTTAGTTTCTACTATATTTTGGTGGACTTTTGGTGATTAAGTAAACAATTTGTATTGATATCAATCAACCAGTTCTGTGGTAAATTTTCTCTTGAAGTGGACGAAACATCAGTAGCGTTGGTAAATGACAATTCCTGTTTTATAGTGAAGACAGCACATGCATTTTGCTGGTTGCCTCTGGATTATCATGTTTGGTTTGTCCCCTTGTATTTTCTAAATGTTTCAGGCACTATTTAAGGTGTTGGGTATTGGAATCATTTGGCGGCAGCTTGCTAACTGCCCAGCAGTTTGATATATCTATATACAACAGAGGTTCTGCTAGATAGCTGTTTCCACTTGTTTCTGGGCACGTCAGCATCTGCAATTTGTGCGTCCCTAACCGGATTCAAACCACTGCAGGTCGAGTTGCGAGAGGCCCACTTAAACTGTTCTTGAACGATCGTCAAGAGTTAGAGGAGTGAATGGCTCGCTGAATTTATCTGTAATGTTTCGCGATCAGAAACCACATACACAGTACTTTTCCTACTCAGGGTAAATTTGAATAATCAACAAACTCGTAGTGGGTTCGTGAACAGTTCATCAATATTCTCCCATCATTTAACTTGATCATATTTTCCCGCAAAAATCTACCCGTCCCCCCCCCCGCCTCCCCAATTCGCCAACCCACCTAGTCACATCTGACAAGTGGATTCAAATCATATCTGCTGTTCACGATGGGAAAATGCTATTTGTTCAGTCTAGCCGTCATCTGAACAAATTAACAGTGTGGGTTAGAAAAAATAGGTGGAAGTATGCGGTGCAAGGAAAGGAGATCATGCTTGCAATGTCCGACATCCCGAGTGGTGTGGAAGACAACATGGGATCAATATTTCCAGTCACGGGAGTCAGTGAGTTTCATGAACGTTATCTTTTAATACGCTGTCCATTATTCTTCTATTGCTGACTTGTGTGAGGCACTGTTTACGCTCATGTCTTTAATAGTTTCACCACGGTCTTGATTAATCAATGCACCTGTCCGAATCCGAAAAAGAGAACAAAGAAATAGCAGAAAACATCATTGCCTCACGTAGATGTTTTGTAATAGGAGGAAAACTCGAGTCTATAGTGCTCCCCAAGTGAATGGTTGACTGGATCTCCTGATGATTATGCGTGAGATTGAAGACTAATGGATGGACGGTTCAAATCAGAATAAGCTGTGTTATAAAATGTTTGGATTTATTAAAATAGCCCAAACCTGGTAGACCGAATCCCCATGTGTTAGTAGTGATTCGTCTGGGTTGTCTCGTCATTCTTGTTCTAAGTAATACATTGCAAGAGAGTGAGTACATTCAACATCAATTTTAACCATTCAAATGTTTCACTAGCCCAAAACGGAACGCTAACCTTATTCAACTGAAATATAACGCAATATTAACTGAAGTTTTATGATGTTTTTCAATACCGTGATCCTACAATCGATTTCTGGTTTAGTGCTGTCGCGCAAATCCATCAATACGGCATCAACTTTGTTTCACTCCTAATCTTCCAGGTTCAAAACAACCGACAGTTATGAAGTGCACCAAGTACGGACCGTTCGTTTACATTGTAATCAAAAAAGAGCAATCTGCTCTCAGCCCCTTGTACGAAGGCTTTTTGTTTGAAAATCGTTCGGGATCGGCCCGTGGGAAATGGTACGGCTACTATGGTCGGATTGAAGTTTCCTCTTGTGACAACTGTGTACTGTATGTGCGTGAGTTACTTTCAGACGGAACATATTCGGCATTCAGTACAGAATACCGAGTCACGGTGCCAGCGAGTAAGTTTACGATGATGGATTTGAATAAAATACGCCTGATTTATCTGCCTTATCCCCAATCGCTTAAAGCCACAATCACGAAATTGCCCCGCGTTTGATCGTTAGCTTATTGTCCTCCTCCTGTTCCGAGATTTTGGTTCCGCCATGAAACATGATTTTCATTCCATCAGCAAACATTGAGTTGGACACTAAGGCATCGCGGTCTGGCGGATCACAGTCGAATCTTATTGTCGTATTCTTCCCGTGTAATGGTCTTCAACCGCCAAAACCGGTGCATCTATCTGAAATATTTTGTTTGGAGTCAAGATGATCAGGTCAATTATTACTGTATGTACCACTGGTGAGAATCATGTTACGCCTAAATACATTCCTTAGCAGTCGGACAGGTTCCTCCATTTTGGTATATTCACAGTTTCCGTCGCGTACGACGAGCAAATCTGAGGAGAACTTTCTGTCTCACCCTCACAA